GAGAGACGGCTTCTGACATATGGGAAATACTCAACACTCTCCAGAGTCTCACCGCAAATCTGAATCATCAGAGATGGAGACTGCTCATTAAGACCTTCATCTTCTGAATGCTAAGCATCAGTCCCATTTTCCCTTGGTAAAGACATTGATAATTGCCTAAAGGTCTCTTTCCAAGTGCTCACTTGGCTAGATAAAGCCTTGCCTGGGATGATATAGTTGGGCATGGTCCTGCTTTGAGTAGGAGGTTGGACTAGATGACTTCCTGATGTCCCTTTCAACCCTAATTTTCTATAATTATATTATTCTTATTGAAAATCTGCAATAAGGAAATCTGCAATCTTCTGCCTAGGAGATTCCACAGTTTTCCTAGGCAGTTTGCCCATTGTCTTCCAGTTCTAACAGTTAGGAAGCTTTTCCTGAGATTTCATCTACATCTGCTTTGCTGTAGTGTATGTCCATTGCCTCTTGTGCTACCCCCTATAGCAAGGAGGAACAATTTTGTCTCCTCTATGTGGCAGCCATTCAAATATTTGAAAATTGCTATCTTGTCTCCCCTCCCCACCCTTTCTCCCTTTCTCCAAACTAAACATATCCAGTTCTTTCAACCTTTCCTCCCATGGTTTGCATTCCAGCTTCTTTATCATCTTCATTGCTTGCCACTGGATCCTCTCCAGGTTCTCTACTTCCTTTTAAAATGCAGTTCCCAGAACTGAACACAGTACTACATCTGGGGCCTGACAAGGATTAAGTTTAGCTGAGTAGAATGGAATCATTACCTCCCATATCTTGAATAAAATGCTTCTGTTAATTCAACCCAAGTTTATATGTATTTTCTTTATGGCAGCATCATACACTTTGGTCCCAGAAATGAAACACCAAACTCACATGTTTACTTTCTGAATTGATTCCTGTCTTTGGATTATGTTAAAGACAGTGTTTTACCCTGGGAAAACAAGCTTGGGCCATCTATATAAAAAACCTCTCATTTTCTTCTCTATGGAGAAGATACCATATTGTATTAAAAGACCTGAACATGGAACCAGTCAGGGGTCCCTAAACTTAGGAAAGATGTCATCTAAATTATTGGGTTATTGTGGAAAAGTATGAGGTTCCCTGAAATGAAAATTTTTAATTCTATTCCACTCTTAAAGTGATCTGTAAATGTGTATTTGTAAGTCACCATGCTGTTTTATTGTTTTTAACAAATATGCTTGACTTACAACTTCTAACTACTTTTTTTTTCTGGAAACTCAATCTAGCATCTCAGAGAGGAGATTGGCTCACTCTTTAACCAGTAATAAAGGTTTTCACAGCCAAAGAATGCCCTCAGCAATACCTGTGCAAGTCTCTGGTTGTCATATTAAATCAAAACTAATTATAAAAAGGGTAAAAAAGCACTCACCAAACAAACCTGCTTGAAAGATGAGATCTATTAGGCATGTCAAGATCTAGGGCTGTCTGACAAATGGCAAAGAGTTCAGGAAACAATGAAGCTGGGACTACTACAGGTCATAGTTGCGAGTAGGGAGGTGAAGACAGAACAGTAGCAGCAATGAGATTGTAAATTCTTTATAGAATTTTTGTTCTGATCTTTTCTCTCGCACTGGCCTGATTCTACTTACTTTGGAGAAATTCTATGGCTAGGCCACTTTTCATGTATTAAAGATGGTTGGGTTAAAGGATTGTAACAAGGAACAGAATCATGTACATACTCACACCTGAGTGCTTGAGAAGTCATTGGCTTTGAGGAGAGAATTGTAGCCCTATAATTCAAAATGTCCCTATTTTATTATATTATGTGATAAACCCAGATTGGGGGTCTGTGTGCTTCATTCCTATATCAAACTTACTGGAATTTATTGCATATGTGTTTTCTCTTCCGCTGTGATGAATAAGTGTTACAGGCTCAGTTGTGCAGAAGTTACTATGGGTCCCTTTTTAATTGTTCTAGTCTTTCCCTTCATACTACCATCTCCTTCCACTGGCCCCATCTCCAAATAGTCCTGCAGCTTCCTTCTTGATTGCTCTTGCTATTTTCTCTGCTCTGCTTTAATCTTTCACAAAGGGGACTTCTCTTATATCCTTTGCCGGCTCTGTTGTGACAGCATCTAAAGCAGTTTTCCTTATCTCACTAGCAGTGTTTCTATGTCAGTTATGCTTTGACTACTACCAAAGCACCCTGCCCAAATTGCTGTATTTAAACTGTTTTACTACCTCCTTTTACTGGCTCTGCTTCTAATGCTGTTGGGTTGACTATTAAAGCAAAAGGGAATTGACTGAATGTGCCACCTTATGGCTATCCATGATAAACACCTTATATGAATTACCATCTATTAAGCATAACAGCTTAAGCTCTATAAGTAATGCATACACCATCGTGGTTGTTAGTGTCTGCACAGTGAATATTTATTTCAAGACTGTAAAATTTGTCTAAACTTTTAACATTGCATTTGATAGGTTTTCAGTGATGCAAAACAGCATACAAGGAATAAGAAGATATAGCCAACATAGTAGTGATTTTTCACACTGTTCACTGTCTGAAGTTCTGCTAATGGTTTTCAGCAGCAGCAATGTTTTTTCCCCTTTATTAGAACTTTTGTTCTGATCTTTTCACATGCACTGACCTAGTTGTATATATTTGAGAGAAATGCTGTGGCTGGGCCACTTCTCATTTCAAATTGAGGATGTTTCTTGTTACCAATAATGTTTAAGGTTTTAAACATAAAACAAAAGTTTAAAATATTACGACTACAGGAAACAAAATTGTTGCAAGCTGCAGCTGGGCTAACACCTTTACAGAAAAATCTTCCATATTTAAAAACAGAAATTTATTCCACTCATGGATTAATTTGTATCCTAATCCACAAATGTACTGTGCTGAATAGCTCTACTGCCCACATAAACTATGTAGAGACTAGGTTAAAGCCAGTAAAATATATTAGTTTAAAATGTTACTTCTTCCCTGTCTAATTATTATTATAGTTTTACATTGGACTAAATAATGCAAAATGTCCTTTCTTAAATGCAACCTCAGTCATACTTAGATCCTAATATCTATGTAGCTAATGTATAGATATGGCATAATGAAAATGTTTAGGGGTTCAACTTGATGCCCTTCAAAGTCATTATAAAGATTCTTATTTATCAGCCCCCACACAGGCATCCATTTGCTGTTACTATAAAAAAGATATTTTTTTTCTTGTAGTCCAAGTAGTGCTATGGACTTAGAAATACGATCTGCCTTCAAATGTCCTTGTGTGTCACTTGTGATCACTAAATACATATTGTTTGGAAATTCCACCAGAATTTCTCTTGACTATATGTGAGAAATTACTTACCTGTGGTAAGTTTTCATTATACTATTTTAAACTAAGATTTTAGAGAAGCATCAGCTTTAAAATAAGGTTAAGGCAAATATAAGGTTTAGTACTCTAGTGTAAACACAAACATTTTAAGTGGGCCACTCTTGCTGTCCTTGTTCTGGAAAAACTGTGATATAAACCAATGGGACAAATTCAGTACTGGTGTATCATGTTACTCGTGTGACACTCAGTATGGACGGATTTAGTTAGGGTGACCAAATGTCCCAGTTTGGCTGGGACAATCCCAGATTTTGTAGGCTGTCACACCATCCCAGCTAGTTGATGACTGAAGCAAAAATCCCTGGATTGGTTGGAATCAGCCAGGGTGGGACAGGGGTGGGGTGGGAGAGTGCTGCTATGAGTGAGGGCTGCTCATATGTGTGTGTGTGTGGCATCCAGGGGAGTGGTGGGTGCAGACAGGGTGTCTCAGACCCCTTCCCTGAGGGGACCTGGGGTCTCCCCCAGCTGCCGGTGGGGACCCATGTTTGGGGGAGAACTCCAAGCTTGTGGCCCCGGCTGGGCATGCACTGGGCTTGCAGCGGGGGAGAGAACTGTAGGGGAATGGGATGCAGTCTTGCAAGGAAAGGGAGGTGGAGCAGCATAGTGCTCTAGACGGGTAAGCAGGCACCACTGCTGCCCACCTGCCTTGTGCACCATGCCACTTTGCCTCTGTCTCCACCCACCTCTGCCTACAGTAGCACTGCTGACTTGGGAGAGCAGGGATGGGGTCAGTGTCCCAGATTTCCCATGGTCCCATATGATACCCTTGATTTAGTTCACTAAAAATCTTGCCTGAGATGAACAGTGGGACCAATCCATTGCACATAAAGAGATGAAGAGTCAATTCAAGGCACTATTTGTTTTTCTGACATTTATAATCTACTGGCTATATTCTGGGAATTGGCAGCTCAGGGAATAGAAGAGGAAGGGGCATGCAGTGGGCTGTAAATTACATTTGCCTTTTCCCATTCTAGAACTAGCAGACATCAGTGCAAGTTAGAGCAGTCTAGTACTGTCCTTTCACACACTCCACTGCCTATTGTCCCCTTGGGTGCACTAGCAGCTATAAATCAGCTGAAGTTTGTTGCTCACTGGTCAAACTACATTTTGTCTTATATACATCCTATGTTGCAGATTGCTTATGCAATGGGTTACAAAGACTTCACAAACCTGTGTTATGCAGGGATTCATCAATGCTGGAGTCTCCAAAAAGCCAGTTAAGGTGTCTTTGAAGTTTCTTTGCAGAACAGAAGTGGCACAAAGCAACTCTAGTGAGAAGACCAGATTCTGACCCAAGAAATGTGTTTATAAAGCCTCCGAATGCTTGAATTGAAATGTTTCTTTCCCCATTGCTCACACAGTGCTTTGCTTTAGGATTATGCATGAGGACTGTGCCAATGCCATTGCTCTTCCTTTTGGTTTGTTTGTTTTAAGAAATGGAGAGCATCTTTAACTATTTGCTTAAGGGAAAATATCCACCCAAAACAGCTAAAACTAATTACATGCATTTTGTAAACAGATGTAGGCAACAAAGGGGACAGCATGCTTACAATCTTGACAGTATCTCTCATTTGATTGTAATGTAAATTAGAAAATAGAAATAATATAGACCCCAATACAAATTTCCATTTTTGCTTTTCAAAAATCATCCAGAATTGGGTAAATGAAGTTGTCTTTGAACAAGCAGTATGCCAAAATCTCTCCTCCACAAATCATTGAAATTAAGCCAGCTCCTGAAAAGAAACAAAAATATTTCATGTTAATTTTAGTCGTGGTATGCAAACATCACAACAGTATTTAAACCACTCCTACATAGAATAGAGACATAGAATAATAGTTTTTGTTACTCTTTTCTGTATAACACCAATGAAATGTAGCTAGGGATTTGGTTTGATTTATTTTTTCCCATTTTGAAAATGTTATTTTTTCTCTTCAACTCACAAAATGAGGATTTTTAAATGATTTCTTCAGCTCAGTCCTCTACCAGCCTGGGCCTGGGCACCTGTGTCTGCCAACTCAGGACCAGCTACAAGATCAACGATTTTGTTTGTGTGCCTCCATCTATCTTTGAGGATTTCTATATGGCCCTGAGTACTTGTTAACTGGCTTCTGCAATTTTTTCTTCTAAATATCAAAGTAATGTATTTCCAAAAACAGGCCAGGGATCTCTAATTCCCTAATTGGAGCTTTACTGTTACTTTCAATGAAAAAAGTGTAAGCCAAGATTCAAGTCAGGGCCACCTTACCAAAATCAGTAACTACAATTGGACTGCTAACACTGAAAAGGTGAGCAGGATTTATTCTTAGAGCATAACAAGTATAAGACATCTCAAATGTCTACTTGACTGTGTTCATTTGTATAAATTGAATTGGGTAGAGAGCGGCACATGTACAAATGTTACCATCTCACTTGTGTTTAGCTGTTTGTTGGACTCACGATACTACAATTTACTGAGGGGATGATTTCTCAACTACAAATACTAGGTTGGTGCACAGTTCCAAGCAATTTAAAAAGTCAGTAATTCATACATACCTAATGCCAGCCACCAGTGCAACATCAGAGGGAATTCAGACATAACTACAAGGTAAAAAAAGGTACACTGAAAACTTCTTGAAGATCATCTCACACGTGAAAAAAATAGTCTTTCTCCTAAAATAACTGTTTCTAAAAAGGGAAAAAGGAATTGGAAGGAATAACAGGAACATAAACTGAAGTGATGATATAAAATGCTGTACAGGAAAAAATATACCCCAGCTCCCTAAAATGGGAGAATATCCTAAACTGAACTCAGAGCAGGATCAGCCATTTTAAGCCCTGTATCAGGAAATTCATAGAATCAGAGAAAATGAGAGTTGGAAGGGACCTGAGGAGGTCATCTAGTTCAACCCCCTGCTCAAAGCAGGACCATCCCCAACTGTATCATCCCAGCCAAGGCTTTGTCTAGCCAGGTCTTAAAAACCTCCAAGGATGGAAATTCCACAACCTCTCTGGATGATCTGTTCTAGTGTTTGACTACCCTCCTCATGAGAAAGTTTTTCCTCATATCTACCCTAAAATTCCTCTGCTACAACTTGAGACAGTTGCTCCTTGTTTTGCCATCTGCCATCACTAAGAACAGTCCATCCTCTTTGGAACCGCCCCTCAGGTAGTTAGAGGCTACCTCTCAGTCTTCTCTTCTCCAGACTAAAGAAGCCCAGTTCCCTCCATCTCTTCTCGTAAGTCATGTTCCCCAGCTCCCTAACCATTTACATTGCTTTCTGCTAGATTCTCTACAACTTGTTCCCATCCTTACTGCAGTGGGGGACCCAACCTGGACACAGTACTGCAGAAGTGGCCTCACCAGTGTTGAATAGAGGGGAATAATAATTTCCCTTGATCTGCTGGCAACACTCCTATTAATGCAGCCCAGTATGCCATTAGCCTTCTTCACAACAAGGTCACGCTGTTGGCTCATATTCAGCTTATTTTCCACTGTAACCCCCAGGTCCTTTTCTGCAGAGCTGCTGCTTGTTATAATATCTCTATTTATTTACCTTCCTTTCATGAGTAAGGCAGAAATTCTACCCCTTTGGATACTTAAAACAGGGAATAGGACCAGAAAGCATAAGAGGAACTGTCATGAAGCAGGATAATATAACATTGACTTAGGGTTAAATAGGCAGAAATAGGGTTAAAACATCTCTCTCAGTCAGCCATCCCAGAACTCTGGTAAACAGCATAGTGGGATTAGCAGGTGTTCTTGGCAAAAACTGATGATGAGCTTCATTTGCTGTAGACAACTCTTTCTTGCTTGCTTGCTTGCTTTCTTCCTTCTTTTCCTTTCTTTCTTGCTATGTGAGAAGATGCCAGACCTGATCAAATGCTTTATTTTCCTCATTGAGGTTTGGCTGAAATCATCTTTAACTTAGACATTTTGCTGCTGAAGCAGGCTTTGTTTTACATTGAACTTTGGCTGAGGTGCTTATGTTGGAGCCTTGAAGGGTCAGGACATTGACAACAGTTACTTGTTTTACAAAAGGTGCACAACTCCCTGTTGCTGAAACCACCTCTTTTCCTCAAATGCTGTCTCTGGCATGTTACAAATGAAACCTCTTAAATACAATGCAAGATAATTGCCATTTAGAAATTGTTGCAACAAAGTGTAATCGTGTTTTAAATGGCAGTATATTGCATACAAGATGGAAGAGGAGAAATTAATATTTATTGAATTTGATAAAGTGCCAACATTAGTCCAAGAATAAATTAGAGGGAAAATGTTTGATCAGTCCTGCTCAGTTTACAGTACAGTACATTTATTTAATATTATCCTTGCTTACCAAATGATGTTATGATGATATGAATAACAGTAACTGTTATAGCGTAATCCCAAACCCATTCTTCCACAACCAAGGCAAACAGCAATCCACAAATAAAGTAGGTAATTTCCAATGAAACTAGAAGAACTGTAAATAAAAACAGGGTATTTATTAGTATAAACAAATGTTTTGGAAAGTTTGTTCCCATACATGTAATTAATAGAAATAGGCAGTTAAGCTTTCAAAGGTAAAATTGAGGGTAGATTATTTTTCAGCAAGGTCAAGTGGTCTGCTAATGTTTCTATTTAAAATTTGTTTTCAATTATTTACAGCTTGGCCACAAAAATTTGCCTGAGGGGAACCTCAGTGTGTATGTTGCATTACAGTGTAGATTGAAGAAAAGGGCCTAGGATTAATAAGGCTGGTAACCAATGTCCTCTCTATAACCCAGAGCAGGTGCAACAAGGAAGTGCACTTATACTGGGGAAAAGGGACAAAATCTGGCCCACAGTGGACTCCATTTCCCAGCAACCCCTGCCCATGTCACTGTGGCCAGGTGTCCCAGGGTGACAGAGAAAAGGAATCGGAAAGTCCCACCCGAGAGGCGCAGCACAGAAAAAAATCGTGAAATAAAGAAAGGAACACAAAAAAACCACTTACTTGCAGGAAAAGCAAGACTGGAAGGATGAGAAGAAGAGTCCGTGTGGTTCACAAGCCATGCTTTTGTATGATTAAAGCTGGTGGGTGAGGTCACAGAGATGTGCCAGCTGCCAGAGATAAAAGTGGGCACTGGCAGTGAGGCGGGGAGAGTGAGAGAGGAGGTGGAGGCTCTCTGTGCCAGCATCGGGCAGAGCTGGCATGAACAGGGAATGCCCAGGCAACAGGCGACAGCAGGGATGTAGCAGGGCACTAAGGTGCCTGCTACTGGGAGAGCCAGAATAGCCACTCAGGTGCCGGTTGCCAGGACGACCAGAGGGAGCCAGTGTCCCCCACCTGCTAGTGGTCAGCTGACTGGAAGGGGAGGGCCTGGCTCCCATTTAAACACCAGAACTGAGGCCAAGGGGGCAGTTCCCTGCCAGCAGCTAAGAGGGAAGGAACTCTCTCATGGAAGGGAGGAGCAGCGTCTAACCCTGCTTCAGGATGACGTACCCCTGGTAGGCTTGAGCGAGGTTAGAGCCAGGCGGCTTAAGTTTTTGTGTTATAGCCCAGGGGCTTGTGTTTGTGTTGCTGTTTGTTACCGGTGGTTTGGGTGAAGCTATTAGGGGTTGGAGGAGGCCTCATAGGGGACTCTCAGCGGTGTGGAGACCCCAGCACCAGTGAGGGCACAGCATTCAGTGTGCACAGCCCCCAGCCCCCGAGAGGGGCAGTTGAGAAGCCCCAGAGAGGGGGAATTGCTGAGAAGCCCCAGTGTGGGCATGGTGAGCCCCAGAGAAGGGGGCAGCATTGTGGTGAGCCCCAGAGAAGGGGGAGTTGCTGAGAAGCCCCAGTGTGGGTGTGTGTTTTTTCTGTTGTTTGGATGGGTGGAGTCGTGCCCGGGTTTTGAACTTGTGCCCCCTTTGAATGTGGGCTGGCACATGTGCCTCTGGGCCAGGGGGTGTCATGCCTTAGAAGGGAGCTGGAAAAGAGGCCAAGAGCCTCCAGACACTGGAAGGAAGTGCTAGAGCCTTGAAGTCTAACCCTGTTTGGTGGGTTTGGATGGAGAGGTCTAGCTAGAGAAAAAAGGGGTCAGAACCTTATAGGAGAGACCCCAACATACCCAATATAATCAGCAGTCTCCCGCTCGCATACTAATTCCATCAAGACATGGCAGACAAGATTAGAGCAGGACAGCAGAGGTCCAAGAGGACTCCAAGGGCGCCCCACGTAAGGCACGGATGACCGGGAAGATGGTGCTGGGGAGGGCGACCCGTTACAAGGGCAACAAGGCTCCCTCACACCAAGGGGACTGAGACAGGACCCCATGAGGGGAGGAGTGTTGGGGGTGACTTTCCCCTCATGCCTCCGAAGATGTTCGGCGATGGAGGTTCTGAACAACGGAGCGTACAGCACGGCGACCCAGAAGAACAGATTGAGACCTATCTCGAGGAAGCCAAAGGGTTTTTACCTGAACACTCCCAGGTACCAGGTCAGGGAGCTGGGCTGGGAGTGGAAAGGGAAGAGAGACCCCACAGGATCAGCGTCGGGGGAGTACTGTCAGCATAGGCAGGAGTGAGGGAAGAACAAGCTGGTAGGACACCGGACAGGAAGACCCTTTTGGGGTTCTTTTTCCTTTCTTTTCTTCATTTCATTTCATTACCCTGCTTGACAGGGAAACCCATGCTGACCCCAGGAATAGAACCGACAGGCTCAAAGGGGCCTTGGGCATAGCGCCGGAAAGAACCAAAGATCCTCAAGGAGGAGAGAGGAACACAGTCAGGCACAAGGAACATCCACTGAAGGGAGAGGGCCATTTTAAGACCTGGCACCCCACCAGCAGTTGGCGTAAGGTTAGGGTATAGGGGAGGTGGAGCCCCACAGACATCCCGCGAGTGGAGTGGTCATCCCTGAGGGGACCTTCGAGGCTATCCCCACCACTGAAGTAACATCCAAAGACGTGGCAGACCAGTTCAGGGGAGGCCAGAGGGACAACCGAAGCCCACTTTGGGGTACCCACAAAGCTAGAGAGCACGCGCCCTCTACAGCACAGGCCAAGGCCGCACACAAGCGGGTGTTCGAAGCCAGGCGAGTGCACTGGTTTCCATGGAGACCTCAGCAGCAGCAGGGCTGTGACAGCACAGGCCAGGGTGTCCATGGAGAGTGGCCCCAGCAGCACTGGCAGGGTACGCAGCTGGGTGGGGAGCTGCTCCAGGGCCGGGCTGGGATCTTGCATCAGTGACAGCATGGTCTGGATCCAGGGCACAGCTGTGATCCACTGCCCACATGCCCCAGCCAGGGGCATGCAGGCAGGGAATTGTGGCTCTGCCCTGGCTCTGGACCACTCTGTCACTGCTGCAAGATCCCAGCCCAGCCCCAGAGCAGCTCCCCACTCTGCCAGTACTGCTGCCCTGCCAGTGCTGTTGGGGCCAGTCTCCATGGACATCCTGACTCATGCTGTCACAGTTCTGCTGCTGCTGGGGTCTCCTTGGAAACTGGCCACAGCTATGCAAGCAAGGGCTGCTGGGTAATGGAGTCCGGCTGCCGGCCAGATCCATCATTTTGCCCACCTCTGACTTATACCATCTACATACCTCACAGATGGTACTAAATAGTTATCAAACAGTAGTATCCTGTGGTTAATATTGACCTGTGCCTGGGCCAGTAGGGTATCTCAATATACTTTTCTCTGTTACATTCAATTGCATTATTTTTCTTGTGTGGCAGATGGTTATAAAGAACAGACATGAAGAACAGAGTGTAAATGAAGCAGAGAATCCAAAGGACTAGCACAAGCCACCCCTATTGAATTTGCATATAAGCACATCTTCCCTCAGCCTTGTAACACAGGCATCAAGCTGCACCTACTTCTCTATGGTATATCAAAACCAAAATAGGAGGATTTTGTGTTTCCTGAATAGCTACAATGACAGTGCATCTACACAAGATGCTTTACTGTGCAGTAGAGCAATTTACTGCATAGTAAGCATCACCATCTACACGTGTAGACCATTATTGTGCAGTGATTTGCTCTACTCAGCAGATAATTTGCAAATCCAAATGCAAATAGTAAATTAACTGCCAAGTAATTACTGTACAGTAAGGCATATGTAGACAGTCAACCGGGAGCAAATTTGCTCCTGGTCACCCAGGCATCAGGGGGTAGGAGATTGCTCCCTGCCCCTGGGAACTGCCTGCTTCGGGGGCAGGCTCCACCACCAGAGCCCAGGCAGCTGGTTTCTTTGCCTTGGTAGCAGGGAGCTCCCAACCCCTGCTCCATGATCATAAGTGCGGAGCTGGGCCAGGATTGACCCATTGCATAGGGAGAGTGCCCCTCCCAGCCTGAAGTTACCTGGGATCTGCCCCAGGCCGGGACAGTTCCTGGCCAGCTGCAAGCTGCACAGGGAAGTCTGCACATACAGCCTGGAGCTGGCCGGGGGCTGTCCCATTTCAGGCAGTTCCCAGCCAGCTCTGGGCTGCATGTGCAGACTTCCCTGTGCAGCCTAGGACTGGCTGGGAACTGACCCAGTCTGGGGCAGGTCCCAGCCTCACAGCTTTTTCCGAGCCCTTTGCCCTGATTGGGAGATTGAAGCATGGGACTTGGAAATTGCTGAGGGCAGGGGCAGGTTCCAGCCCCCTGCCCCAATCTGCTGGTGTTGCTGACTGGAGAGCCAGGGCTGGGAGCTTCCTGCTGCTGGGGCAGAGGAACATTATCCCCACCGGGGCTGCACCACCAAAGCCCACCCCAGCAGCAGGCAGCTCCTGGGAGCATGGAGCAATCTCTCAATTCCTGCCAGGAGACAGATGTCTCCTGGCCCCATGCTCCCTGCCAGCTCCTGGGTTAGCACCCGGAGCTGGCTAGAGCTCCCCCTGACTGCTGTAGGAGGGCAGAACTGGGTGGGAGAAAATCTACTCCCAAATGCACACACATGTAGACACCTGCCCGGGGTCTGTTTACTCCAGAGCAAATCTGGAGTAAATTACTCTGGAGTAAACCCATGCTGCAGCATTTGAATGTGTAGACATGCACTGTGTGAGGCAAAGTAGATAAATCTTGATGCTCTACAAGACTGTTAATCTGTAGGCGCATCTACATGTGCCCCTATGATGTAATTGTTACCATGCTGTCATTTAGTACTTTCTTTTGAAAGTGCTAAATGATGGTGCAATAACAGCCCGTGCTGTTATTACGTTGCTGTAGTGATGCGCGATACTGAGGGAGCATGTCACTACAGCAACATAGTTGTAGCATTACAGCTTGTGCCCACTGATGCTACATTGCCATAGTGCATTGATATAGTGACATGGCATCACTTGTAGATGTGCCCATATAGAGCAGCTGATAAACCAGTTCATTTTCTCAGTGGTTGAGTAGCACACCTCCTGTCTTGTGTGGAATATAATGAGCCATATTGTGCCATCAGTTTGTAATGAGTCAATGATAATTCTTAAAAACCAAAGGCACAGAAACAACGGGCATAATTCTGCTTGACCTACTGGATAGGCAAAGTGCAGCTTGTGACCAACTCCAACTTACCTGACTCAAGAGTAGGAGTCATTCTGTTTCCCTTTTAGGGTGGATAAGGTCCCCTGTTACTGAATAGATAGAGACCTGTGTGTCTCCTGAGGCCAGTCCTATTCCTATAATAGGGGCACTAACTTGGAGAAAGTAATGGAACCACACTTCAGCTGAGTAACTCAGAGTTGGTTGCAAATTATACTTTGGTCATCCACTTGGTGAAACAGAATTCTTCCCCATGCCTTCAATATGTCTTGTTTAGTACCTCATATATTGCTGTCATGTGGCAACCTATAATGTCATAATTTAAATATAAATCCTATCGATCATGTTGAGATGCAGTAGTTGCATTAGTAATTTGCAAACTAATTCTAATTGTGTAAGTTCTACATTTTTTCTTAGTAATGCCATTTTTCTGCTAGCCTAATTGAAATGTTCTTTTTTCCTCTAAAATCAAATCAGAATGGCACTGTAGCAAATATCACTGCTCTTTCTATTCCTGTATGTGTTTAAGATGATGATCTAAACAATTTACATTTGAAAAGCTCTAATTCC